CAACAAAAAACATAGGCCTACCATTAAAAGCCGTGCTTGCACAGGTTCTGCACAATTCTCTTCAATAATATCCTGTGCTTCTCAATCGAGCTCAAACTGATAAGCGATATTACCGTTGTTTACAATACAACCGGAGCACATGCCGCTGAGGTTTTTTAAACGAAGCATTAACGCATGTTAGACTGCACCCCATAAACACTATCAAGCCTAGAAAAAACCCAGTGAACCACCGCTTTAAAATCAGTGTTTGAATTGAGGGGAGGCTGGGGGACTCCCATTAGCATTACTGAATGAAATGTAGTGTTTTGAAAAAAATCGGTTGAGCGCATGATTCAATTACCCATTCATAAAGTCATTAGTCACTTGCTTAATTTTTTTATTGAATCAGTCCTTTTCAATGAATCAAATGATTCAGTGACTCACTCATTAAGATGAGTAAGTCATTGAGTCACCACCTAATAGTGGTTTTAGTTTCATATTTAAAAAAAAAAATTCCTAATCATTTCATATTTCTGTTTTCAAAATGTTATATTTAACCATTAATCTCATTGTGTTATTTATGCAATTTTAATTGCAGTGTAAATACATTCTCACCATCTTATTTTTGAGCCACTTAAAATTTTTACAAATTATTTCTTAAAATAATTTTAAATAAGACCAAACCCAGTTTCTTATTTTAATTCACCCGATGAATTTTTTATTTTTATTTTTTTTCCTTTGAAGATCCAGGCTTTCCAATATATCTTTATCAATCTTTATAATATCTTTAAAAATCTGGATATATGAGGAAGCCAAATTTTAAAAGTGTGATTTCTAGAATGGAATGGTAAATTAATCAAAACTCCATGGGCATTTCTATAATGAATATATTGAAGTCATGACAAGCTCTAAAATATTTAATTAGGTAGAAATTGTGCATAGAAATATCTAAAAAATAATTAATTCTTATCCAGTTAATCACAAACAACTGGAAAATCCACGGGGCGTTTGAACATTGTTGTGGACAATGGGGCCCTTGGAGCCAAAAATGATGAAGCACTACTTTAAAGGCAGCCTGATTTGAAGATGAACTCACCTCAGTCCATTCATTGTTCTGTGCATCATAGGACTCGACACTGTTTAAGTAGGTCTGACCGTCATATCCTCCGACCGCATATAACCTGTCTCCCAGCAGACACACCCCCACTGCATCCCGGGGGACGCTCAGAGAGGACACTGTGGTCCACGTGTCTGTTTTGGGGTCATACCTGTAAATTCAGAACAGAACAAAACAGTATAAACCTGTGCTAGCACTTTCAATACAAGCCACTGGATAAAATGAGAGATAATTGCATAGAGAGGTTAAACAGCAGCCAGTCTGTAATCTAGATGATGAAAGCCTTTGAAAGCATAAGGACTATGATTATCATCCCTAACAATGAAATCTATTGTGCTTTCAGCGTGCAGAGTAATAACAGAGTAATGAGTTGAAGGTTCTGACGGCTGTTGTTCATTAATGAGGATGTCTTTTTGTTCTTTATATTTAGGTTATTATTCATTTAGCCTTTTCCCTCAAGTATTTACAGCTAGTTGGTCACATTTTATGGGAGTTTTTTTTTTTTTTTTTTTTTTATAGATAGATAGATAGATAGATAGATAGATAGATAGGAAATAAATAGGCTAATTATATAATGAAAATACAGTAATAGTATATTGCTTATAACCAACTTATTTTGAATAAAATTTTGCAAGGTTTACTCCACATTTAAATGTTTCTTGAGCATATGATTAATCAGCATATTAGAATGTTTTCTGAAGGATCATGTGATACTTGAGACTGGAGTAATGATACTGAAAATTCAGCTTTACATCACAGGAATAAATTATAAATGCAGCCTTGGTGAGTTTTACATTTTAATTACAACCTTTAGGCTGTATTTCAGATCATCACCAGCAGGGGGCATCTAACACCAGATTACTGAATTACTGAGGCTAACAGTTTCACAATGGAGTAAAGTGTGTCCAGATTTGCAAGTAAGCATGCAAATGACAGTACTTGGCACCCATAACTATGTGCCAAGACTCTTTTATTGCCTGCTTTTGTGGGGTGGTGTTGTCGTTATGATCAGGTGTTGGATTTCTTTCTTCCCAGATGCTGTGCTGTGGCAGCTTACCTCTCCACACAGTCAGAGAGACGTGAGCAATGGTTTGAAGCTGGTGCATCATGTCCTCCGACTGCATACAAGAAACTGTTATATGTGGCCACGCCCACTCCTCCCCTCCTCTTTGACATGGGTGCACACATACTCCATTTATTGGTGTGCATATGATTAATCAGCATATTAGAATGTTTTCTGAAGGATCATGTGATACTTGAGACTGGAGTAATGATACTGAAAATTCAGCTTTACATCACAGGAATAAATTACATTTTAAATATACACATATATATATATATATATATATACACACACACATATATATAGACTCTTTTATTGCCTGCTTTTGTGGGGTGGTGTTGTCGTTATGATCAGGTGTTGGATTTCTTTCTTCCCAGATGCTGTGCTGTGGCAGCTTACCTCTCCACACAGTCAGAGAGACGTGAGCAATGGTTTGAAGCTGGTGCATCATGTCCTCCGACTGCATACAAGAAACTGTTATATGTGGCCACGCCCACTCCTCCCCTCCTCTTTGACATGGGTGCACACATACTCCATTTATTGGTGTGAGGATCAAAACATTCCATCGATCGCAGACACGAGCTTCCATCACGACCGCCAACAGCGAACAACCTGGAAATACATAAAGGTTTCACCTTTTCACAACTTATTTAACTTCCATACTGTGATGTATATCAGAGTAAAACAGGATGGTCAAAGGATGTACTTTGTTGGAGCAATCTCAAAATATTTTTTAAAGCCTGATTTTAGCTAAAGGAGCAAAAGGTTTTAGTACTTTTTTTTTTTTTTTGGGGTAATTTAAAATATGGAAATGTATAGTAAAACAATAGTTTTGGAAATAAACAAAGCATACAGGACCTTACTTGTGTATACACAAGTACATTATTATTTAGGCAGAACTATTTTGGCAGGGGTCATTGCCAGGATGGCTGCTGAGATAACTAGCTTTGGCCAGCCCTGAATGAGTTTACATTCAATTATAGAGCATTATTCCCCTCCTGCATCACCACAGGCACAAGTGTCAGAAATGAAGTTTATTTGTTAAGAGGTATTATTTATAAAGTGGCATGAAATAAAAATTTACCTTATTTATTTTCTTAATTTGTGGTATTGGTCTTTCTATCTGGGCATTTACTTTGGGATCTTTAAGCAAAATGTTGTAACTTGCTCTTCTGATATGTTTACTTGACGTCTATGACATATGCAAGGCCACGCTGCAGTTAAGCAAGTTGCACTGAGATCCTGTATGCACCGCTCACATTTCATAAGCCAGTTTATACAATTTATAAATAAAATATCTGTTCTACTTTTCTTTCTTGTCCGTTTTTCTGTTTCACTCAAATATATTTCACAATATGGTAGTAACGACTTCCATTTATAAAATATATACTAAAAAAGCACAAAAAACAGTAACATGCGTTTAACAGAATAAATATTTTAAAATTTCATTTAGACAAAGTTCATTTTTCTTTTCTTTTTTTTTCTTTTTATTGATTATTTTTTGTATTATTTGAGTTTTAAACTACTCATTACCTGAAAAGATAATTATATAGCTAAAATTAATTATTTGTGGAAAAACTCTGGGTTTGCGGACTCCTGGAGGTCCAAGAAATACTGCAGAAATATATATATAAAACATTTTAAATGTGGTTCTAAAGATTGTGGTCAAAATAAATAACTTCTATTATCTGATTGATTTTATAAGGCATGAAAACACCATTAAACGAAAGTAGGCCTGGGCAATATGGGCAAATAAAAAAAAATAGTATGATAAACTTTTTCATTTCAGACAATATTGATAATTATCACGATAAAGTGCAGGCTTTATCATTCAGTGCAGGCTGCAATATTAATGTCCCATTTTTGTCAAATGCACATTTGACAGTAGCTTGGAGTTGACAGTAGCTTGAGTTAGGATGCACATGTAAATTTATGTTCTTTATCGAAAACAGTAACATGTAAAAAATTTAACAACCTAATTTTTATATGGTGAAATTTAAATGTTCCGACTGTTCTCGAGTTTTTTTTTTTTTTTTTTCAATTAACCAATGGTTTTCCATAGTAGCACACATTTAGATCATGATAACCAGTTAAAACCACACATGCAGAACCTCAATACCATGGTAAAAATGTAACTACAATATATGGTTTCTATAGTATTTATATGTAAAACAGTAGTCTAAATGCATTTAGGATTTAAATGCACAAACGCTATAGTTTAATCGTAAAAATACTGAAATTATATTCCATTACTCCTTTAATGTCAATATTAATAATATTATAAAATTCGTTATGAATATCCCACATTTCTGCCACAATACCATGGTGTAGTTATTGTTACTACCAGTGTTGGGGAAAGTTACTTTTAAAAGTAATGCATTACAATATTGCATTACTCCCTAAAAAAGTACTTAATTACGTTACTTACGTAATGCGTTATATTACTTTTGTATTACTTTCGCGTTACTTTTTAAATATGAGCAGGGCTTGATTGTTTTTAATATAAGAAGTTCTATTTATAGCAAATATAAAAGCCCTTTCACACCAAAAAGTGTAATGAATAAACCTCAGGCTGAAGCAAAAGTAAATTCACGTCTGTACAGTAGAACGCAGAAGAAACACTCTTCAGCAATAAAAAAAAAATGAAGCACAATTGTTAGTTTCTCTAAAGTCATTTTTGCTTATTAGTATGGTTGAACTGGATCATCAAAGGTCAGCAGCAAAGAATTTGGTTAATAAAATGGGATTAGATACATTTGTGTTATTTAACATATTTAATTATTGCAGGTTTGCGTCATATTCTGAGTTTGCATTTCACAGTTTTAATTCATTTAGATTGATACTAAATCTGTTTTTTGTGAGTGGGATGAATTAATGCACATTCACGTTTAGTCTAGAACTACAGTAACATCATGTTCACACAGCGCACATAACGCCTCTGTACTTCTGATTTCTCCCAATGTGGGGACAGGAGACTTGTCAGTCAATAAATGGGAAAAAGTAACTGGCATTACTTTTTTGAAAAAGTAACTCAGATATTTTCTTGTAAATTAAAAAAGTAATGCGTTACTTTACTAGTTACTTGACAAAAGTAATCTGATTACGTAACTCGCGTTACTTGTAATGAGTTACCCCCAACACTGGTTACTACAGTTAATTCTACATCTTTCTGAGCTTTTCTATATTGATAAAATTATAATTGTTCGATGAAAATTATATCGCTATAATTATTGTTATCGATTTATCGCCCAGACATAAACGAAAGTAAATCGCTCTCTGTTGGACAATTCACTGATGTGAAGACACTTGGACATGGCCAAGGAAAAAAAGGTAGTTAATTGAGAAACTAGGTTTAGCATAACACAATAATGTTAATCAATAGAAGAGATTACAGTGGTACCAAGAATTTCAAGCATTTTTATATTATGGGGTCAGAAGAGGGTCTCTGGGTCAGAAGAGGCTGACAAACCCTGTCCCTACAGAACTTCGAAAAGATACCTATGATATGTCCTGGTGAAAAGACCGATCAATTAATCACTTGGAGAAGTAGGACACTGGACTCTAGAGGTAGCTTGAAGGGTTTGTTTTTGACCTGGTTACAGAAAAGCCCCATGAGTCATCAGTCAATGTTCAGCTAGATTCAAACCCAGCCTCCGTTTTCTTGGACAGAGCTAACAGCAGCTCGCCTGCCCCTCAAGCGACTTTAATGTAAAAGACACCAGAGGGTCTTTGGTCTCAGAGCCTATTAACTCCCGTCTGGCTGTACAGGGTTACGCTGTATATTGGATCCAGTACCTAATTCAGACCTCATCATGAGGAGAATCTGTGGAGGAAAGCGATCAGCCACAGCACACTGCACATACTGCTATTGATAGAAAAGCCTTTTTACACTTTTCTTTTCTTTTTTTTTTAATAGAAAAAAAAGTAAATTTTAAAAATAGCATAGTATCCCGATGCCTCCCACTGCATACATGGGCCCCTCTAGCACAGCAATTCCTTTTCCAACAAATAAAGCAAAAAATAAGACAGGCCTCAGCCATTGGCGGTGCACGCCATACATCAGACAAACACACAATTCAATAGCAAGTGTCCATCTTCGTCTCCGTGATGTAGTGAAATTGGCAAATGTCAAAATTTTAAATGGTAATACGATAAGCTTTTCCTTTTTAAGCAGATATCAGTAGCTAAAGACATTCTCCTGGTGCGACCCTAAGGACAGCAGCCCTAAGACGCTGTGGTAAGCATTAGGTATTCATGGTGCATCTCGCTGCTCCCTTTACAGCAAGGGTCTCTCGTGTTTCTGTTATAAATCTCTGGCTGTCGCTTTTGGGGTCCTGACATATAAATCGTCTCTTGACCGACATTTTGGTTATGATATTGCAGTGCACTTTATAGGCAACCTTTGAGTGTCAGTTTTATGGGATTATTGTACAGTGCATTTTCTCTGTGAGTTTAAATTACCTGCCATATTTTTTATACACATTTTTATGTGCAGCCCAGATTGCCTTTGTTAATTTATACACACTTGCTTTGATGTTTGACCATCCGGTTATTTTTGCTGTTATTTCTTGAGGCACTTGAGCCACACAATTTCTATTATGCCCCAACTGGTTTGCCTTTGGCGTGTTTATCGAAATAGACGCACAGCAATAAGTTTTCACTTTGTTTTGTAATGAATAAAATTCTATTTTCTACTGAATTTAAGTTAGCGAATTTGGTGCCTACATTATTAACTGGAACAAGTGAAACTCTTTGTCATGAAAGGCAACACAGTTACTATTACAACACTATTACTAATTTTCTTTTCATAGAATGCATCTTTGGTAAACATGCTAAACAGCACCACATGTTGGGCGGCACCCGCTGGTAAAGATTTTGCAAATGCAATGAGAACACAGCACAAACATGTGGACTAAACATGTATAATAACATCTTTTACATACCAATTGCCAATTTTCATGAACTTGTAATCTATTAAAGGGTTAGTTCACCCGAAAATGAAAATTCTGTCATTAATGACTCATCCTCATGTCATTTCAACTGCAGTGCACTTTATAGGCAACCTTTGAGTGTCAGTTTTATGGGATTATTGTACAGTGCATATTCTCTGTGAGTTTAAATTCCCTGCCATATTTTTTATACACATTTTTATGTGCAGCCCAGATTGCCTTTGTTAATTTATACACACTTGCTTTGATGTTTGACCATCCGGTTATTTTTGCTGTTATTTCTTGAGGCACTTGAGCCACACAATTTCTATTATGCCCCAACTGGTTTGCCTTTGGCGTGTTTATCGAAATAGACGCACAGCAATAAGTTTTCACTTTGTTTTGTAATGAATAAAGTTATATTTTCTACTGAATTTAAGTTAGCGAATTTGGTGCCTACATTATTAACTGGAACAAGTGAAACTCTTTGTCATGAAAGGCAACACAGTTACTATTACAACACTATTACTAATTTTCTTTTCATAGAATGCATCTTTGGTAAACATGCTAAACAGCACCACATGTTGGGCGGCACCCGCTGGTAAAGATTTTGCAAATGCAATGAGAACACAGCACAAACATGTGGACTAAACATGTATAATAACATCTTTTACATACCAATTGCCAATTTTCATGAACTTGTAATCTATTAAAGGGATAGTTCACCCGAAAATGAAAATTCTGTCATTAATGACTCATCCTCATGTCATTTCAAACCCGTAAGACCTTCGTTCATCTTCGCAACACAAATTAAGATATTTTTGATGGAATCTGAGAGGTCTCTGACCCTGCACAGACAGCAATACAACAGAAATGTTCCCAAGTCCAGAAACGTAGCAAGGAGATCTGTAAAATAATCCATGTGACATCAGTGGTTCAACCGTAATTTTACGAAGCTACGTGAATACCTTTTGTGTGCAAAAGAAAAAAAAAAAAGAACAACTTTATTGAACAATTCGTCTCCTCCGCGTCACCCTGTAGTGCCATTTTGGAGAATATCCGCTGGACGTAAACAGCCGTATGCTGTTCTGTGTCAGCTGCGTCACACGGATACGCTGTTTCCATTTAGATCAAATCACAACAACGTAGGAAACAGATCCGGCGTGACGCAGCTGACACA